GATGACCCGCTTCCACCTCATGAGGTCTATGCATGTCTGCTTGGCCGTGAGCAGCGCATTAAGGCGCGCCGAGCCTCCCCTAGCTTCGCCTCCGCCAATGCCGCAACTCGCAGCAAGCCCCAGCGGTCATCATCTTCAGGAGGTAGATCGACGCTGCCTTCACAACCGGCCTCGAGGGGCAGTGCTCCGACCATCATAGGTGGTAACCGGCCGGTGGAATGTTGTTCTTCTTGTGGTGCCCAACAGGCCTGCCAGTTGTGTGACCTGGAGCGCCGCATTGCCTCTCGCTGCCATCGTCTCTACAAGCAAGATTTTCTAGGCCTCGGCAACAATGGCAAAGGGAACAACAAGCAGGCCGCCGCTGCCGTGACGAGTCATGATCATGGCCGTACTCCATCTTACTCCGTCGATCCTGCATGGTACATGGACACTGGAGCTACCAACCACACCGGTGAGATGGGTAAGCTCTCTACTCAGGAGCCATATCGTGGTCATGATCAGGTGCACACCGCCAGCGGAGCAGGTATGCGCATCTCCCATGTTGGTCAGGCCTCTCTCCTTGCACACAATTTTCACACATTGATCTCTCTAATGTCCTTCGTGTTCCTTCTGCTACGCGTAGTTTGTTGTCCATTCCTCAACTTACTCGTGGTAATAATGTCCTTGCTGAGTTTCACCATTTTCGTTTCTTTATCAAGGATCGGGACACGAGGGACGTTCTACTTAGCGGTCATCTTTGCCATGGCCTGTATGCACTTGATGCGCCGCGCCCACCTTCCATGTCGTCTTCTCCTCAGGTGTTCAGTGGTGTTCGTGTGTCGCCTACGCACTAGCATGCGCGCCTTGGTCATCCGGCGGCTCCCATAGTTTGACATGTTTTGCATCGTCATGATCTACCAGTTGTGTCCAATAAAACTGCTGAAACTATTTGTGATGCCTGTCAACAGGGCAAGAGTCATCAACTTGCTTTTTTAGAGTCTAGTCGTGTTGTGAAACATCCTCTTGAGCTTGTGTTTTCTGATGTATGGGGTCATGCCCAGACATCCATTAGCTGTCACAATTATTATGTCAGTTTCATTGATGCTTACAGCCGTTTTACTTGGTTATATCTTATTAAACGTAAGTCTTATGTGTTCGATGTCTTCATTCAGTTTCAAGCACACGTTGAGCGTCTTCTTAAGAAGAAAATCATCCATGTCCAATCTGACTGGGGGGGTGAATACCACAACCTCAACTCGTTTTTTAACAAACTTGGGATTTCGCACCGCGTGCCATGTCCTCATACACATCAATAGAATGGTACTGCCGAGCGTAAGCATTGCCAGCTTGTTGAAACTGGTCTAACCTTGCTCGCTCATGCCTCCGTCCCGTTTTGGTTCTGGAGTGATGCTTTCTCCAAAGCTAGTTTTCTAATAAACAGGCTTCCCTAGAGACTTGGGAAAATGCAAACCCCTCTTGAACTCCTGCTTAATGAGATTCCAGACTACACTTTTTTCAAAGTGTTCGGTTGTGCATGTTGGCCTCACTTACGTCCATACAACAAACGCAAGCTAGAGTTTCGGTCTAAGAAGTGCGTTTTTCTCAGGTATAGTTCTCTTCACAAAGGGTACAAGTGCTTGCATGTTCCTACCAACCGCGTCTACATCTCTCATGATGTGGTGTTTGATGAAAATGTTTTCCCTTTTCGTGCACTTCTGATTAACTTTACCACCTCTACACCACCGGTGCCTGTGTCCACACCTATGCCTGATCAAGTTGTGGATGTTTCATATGCCCCTGCGTTGCTTCCTAATCATGCTGCAGGTATTGGACGCGGTGCCCGGCTCGAGCTACTTGATGAACAGGTCACCGATGAGCTTCCTGGTCGGGACGTGCATGCACCATGCATGACGGGTGGCACCCGCCAACCCGTCCCCGTCTCGCCTATGGAGTCTCCCCCGACTGCCTCGCGGGCGCCGGGTCAGCCTGGCTCCATGCTGGCCCCGTATGGGCTCACGCTGGCCCCACGGGCGCTGGGCTCGCCAGCACCAGCCTCGCCAGCACCAGCGGCCTCACCAGCGCCCGGCTCGCAGGCCTCGCCAGCGCTCGCTTCACGTGGCTTGCCCGGGCCACTGGTGGGTGTCTCGCTCGGGCCGGCTGCTGCTGCCGCTAGCCCAGAGGCCTCGTCACCCGCTCAGGCCCGGTCTGCCTTGGCACTAGGGTCGCCAAACAGCCCTGTTTCGGCCACCGGTGAGCCCGACTCGCCGGACTCGGTGTCGGCCTCGTTAACATCCTCTGCTGCACTGTCTTTGCCAGTTGTACCTGTTGTCACTCTTCGTCCTCGCACACGGAGCCAGTCCAGTATCTTTCGTCCGAAGGAGTGGACAGATGGCATGGTTGCGTGGCTTGCTGCGTGCATGGCTCACACTGCTGGCGATCCCACTGCAGAGCCTCGTCACTTTCAGGCTGCACTGAGTATTCCTCATTGGCATGCTGCAATGGAACAAGAGTTTCAGGCCCTTCAACAGAATGATACTTGGCGTCTTGTTCCTCCAGTGTCTAGCGTCAACGTCATTGATTCCAAGTGGGTTTTCAAAGTCAAGAGACATGCTGATGGCTCCATTGAACGCTACAAGGCAGGGTTAGTTGCCAAGGGCTTCAAACAGAGGTATGGTCTTGATTATGAAGACACTTTCAGTCCAGTCACCAAGCCTACTACCATTCGATTACTACTGTCTCTTGCGGTTACTCGCGGATGCTTCCTTTGTCAGCTTGATTTGCAGAACGCTTTTCTACACGGCATTATGGAGGAGGAGGTTTATATGCGTCAGCCACCTGGTTTTGTTGATCCGACACGACCTCATCATCTCTGTCGTCTGGTTAAGGCACTGTATGGACTCAAACATGCTCCTCGTGCATGGCATGCTCGCCTTGGATCTGTTCTTCGGGCTCTTGGGTTTACTCCCTCCACTGCTGATACGTCACTGTTTCTCCTCCAGCGCCCTGAGGTTACGATGTATATCTTGGTTTATGTTGATGATATCATCCTCATCAGTTCCTCGTTGCTGCTGCTGATCGCCTGTGATTGCTCTCTGTGATGATTTTGCTGTCAAGGATTTAGGTGCTCTTCATTTTTTCCTTGGTCTTGAGGTTTCACGGTCCTCTGCTGGTTTGACTCTCACTCAGAAGAAGTACTCCTTGGACTTGTTGCGTCGTGCTGGAATGCTCAAATGCAAACATGTTAACACTTCGATGTCTGCCACTGATCGGTTTTCTACTCTTGATGGTGACTCTCTCATGTCTGATGATGCTACTGAGTATCGCAGTATCGTTGGTGGTCTGCAATACCTTACTATTACCAGGCCTGACATCTCCTATGCAGTTAACCGTGTCTGTCGGTTTTTGCATGCACCCAGGACGTCTCACTGGTCAGCTGGGAAGCGTATTTTGCGCTATGTCAGTCTTACTGCCTCCTATGATTTGCTTCTTCAGTCTGCACCGTAGTATGAGCTCTCGGCTTTCTCTGATGCAGATTGGGCTGGTAGTCCGGATGACAGGCGATCCACGGGGGGTTATGCGGTATTTCTGGATCCTAACTTGATCGCCTGGAATGCTCGCAAGCAAGCAACTGTGTCTCGCAGTAGTACTGAGGCTGAGTACAAAATTGTTGCTGATGCAACTGCTGAGATCATATGGGTACAGTCTCTGTTGAGAGAGTTGCGTGTTCCTCAAGCTCGTCCTCTGGTCCTGTGGTGTGACAACATTGGTGCTACATATCTTTCTTCTAACCCGGTGTTTCATGCTAGGACAAAACACATTGAGATGGGTTATCACTTTGTTCGGGAACGTGTTGCACAGAAGCTACTCTGTATCAAGTTCATCTCGTCAAAGGATCAACTTGCTGACATCTTCATGAAGCCTCTTCCACAACCACAATTTGTAGGCTGTAGGCTCAATCTTAACTTGCTTTGTACTTCAGGACATAGTTAAGATTGAGGGAGGGTGTCAGACTGTATATACGTAGCCTCTGTATATATGTATTGTAACATTGTATTGTACCCCTTGGGTACCTCTATATAATGAGATAGCCACACCCCGATTAGGGGTGTCGAGCAGTTCCCAAATCATATGTCTTATATGCCGAATGAAATCGTTCTAGTTGTTCCCTGTTTTACCCAACGATCCGGTTTTAGGACGCGCGCTCAAGATCCAACGGTGAAGAGGACGTTTGGTCCAGATTACTTTCTGCCACATGTGTACTTATCATTTGAAAAGAAGTTTAGCTGCAACAAGTTAAGCATCTAATTAAGGGTTTTTGTTGGTAACACCTCGGCTAAGCAACCATATAGAAGAGGCCATTGTTACTGCATTTTTCTTCTTCGATTTTCCCGAGGCAGCCTGCTCGCTCATCCATTACGTCAGTGCACCAGCAAGGGTCGTGGTCGCCCATGGATGCGTACCGATCAATAATACCAGACGATAGGCGATCGGCCGGTTGAGTATGAGAAGTGTACTTTGTGCTCCTGGCAACGCTCTGAACAGCAAGCAAACAAGCCCTTCTAGAAGAAGATGGCGGCGACACCAAGAGCCGATCGGCATAGAAAAAAGGCTCCCGTCACGGGTGACGTTGGCACTCGCGAAGGCGCCACACCACCACAGGTATGCAAGGAGAATTTGGGAGCGCTACTCCACACGAGGCCAGTGGACCGGCAGCAGCCACGGACCCATACTTGTCTCCTGGCTCAACGGCTTCAGGCATGGTGGGTGGGCCGCATGGACCATGTCCTTGAAGGTGATGTGCCGTGGAACGCAATCCTGAGACTCCTCGAGCAAGAAAGGACTCAACCGTTCGTTCGTTCGTATGTGGCGCTGAGCTCGGCTCCGGTGTCCAAATTGGATAGAATTCCACGAGCCCCACTATATAGTAGCACGGTCCAGGTGGGTTGTTCGTGGAGCTGAGCAGCACAGAGCCAAACCAACCAAAAAAGCATTTCGTACTAGGACTTTACGAGAGTGAAGCCATGAAGAAGACCGTTGTCCTGTACCCTGGCGTCGGCGTCGGCCACCTGGTGCCGATGGTGGAGGTCGCCAAGCTGTTCCTCAAGCACGGCCTGGCCGTCACCGTGGTGCTCATTGATCCGCAGGTCGAGTCCACGGACTTCTCCTCCGCCGTCGCCCGCGCGAGGTCCTCCAACCCCTCCGTCGCCTTCCACGTCCTGCCGCCGCCGCCCGCGGATTCCAACTCCGACACCGCGCCCACGAACCCCGTCATCCAGATTTTCCGGCTCCTGAAATCCATGAACGCCCCCCTCCTGGACTTCCTCCGCTCGCTGCCCTCAATTGACGCACTCGTCCTCGACATGTTCTGCGTCGACGCCCAAGATGTCGCGGCTGAGCTCAAGCTGCCGGTTTACTACTTCTACGCGTCGGCCGCCGCCGACCTCGCGCTCTTCCTCAACCTGCCGAGCAAGCTTGCCGGCAGTAAGGTGAAGGAGCTCGGCGACTCTATCATGACTTTCCCGGGTGTTCCTCCGTTGAAAGCTTCGGACTTACCCGAAGTTACCCACAACGATGAAATACTCAAGGCCATCTTGGGCATGTTCGACCGAATGCCAGATGCCAACGGAATTCTCATTAATTCCTTCGAGTCGCTGGAGACGCGGGCGGTGCGCGCTCTCAAGGACGGGCTCTGCGTCCCTGGTCGTGCCATGCCACCGGTCTACTGCATCGGGCCTTTGGTGTTGGGAGGCGGTGACCAGGAGCACGAGTGCCTCCGGTGGCTGGACGCGCAGCCGGACCAGAGCGTAGTGTTCCTCTCCTTCGGCAGCATGGGCACGTTCTCCGGTAAGCAGCTCCAGGAGATTGCAAGTGGATTGGAAAAGTCAGGGGAGAGATTCCTGTGGGTCGTGCGGAGCCCGCGCAATCCCGACTACAAGTACGGCGATTCGCTGCCGGAGCCCGATCTCGACGCGCTCATGCCGGAAGGGTTCTTGGAGAGGACCAAGGACAGAGGACTCGTGATCAAGTCTTGGGCGCCACAGGTGGAGGTCCTGCGCCACAGGGCGACCGGCGCATTCATGACACACTGCGGCTGGAACTCGACACTGGAGGGCATCACGGCAGGGTTGCCGCTGCTGTGCTGGCCGCTGTACGCGGAGCAGAAGGTGAACAAGGTGCACATAGTGGAGGGAATGAAGCTCGGGGTGGAGATGAGAGGCTACAACGAAGAGGTGGTTAAGGCCGGGGAGGTGGAGGAGAAGGTCAGGTGGGTTATCGCGTCCGAGGGCGGCAAGGCGCTCAGGGAGCGGGTGGCGGCGGCGAAGGATGCAGCTGCCGAGGCGCTCAAGGAAGGGGGCTCGTCTCACTTGGCGTTTGTCCAATTCCTCAACGACCTGGACACTTCCACAGCCCCAACTGTGCAGCATTGATGTGAAACTTGTAAACTTTACTTAATGTTCGATTTGCAGTAGCAGGCTATGTACATTTTGAAATTATATGCGGACTAGTTTATTTCTGGACCCTTTCGAAGCTAGTGTTGATTTGTTTAGGAAAAAAAGCATTGCACTCTGCTTCTTGTGAGTATTGAACTGTTGTCTCTATTTATGGAATACTCCCTCCGTCCGGAAAAAGTTGTCTCCGCCGATGTTTTACAAAAACCCCCTTCCCTTTCTTCCGACAAGCCACGCAGCCCATCGCGCCTGCTCTGTCGCCTCGCCACGCACCGGCGGCCTGCTCCGCCGCCTTGCCGCCTGCTCTGCCGGCTCTCCACCTGCTCCGTCTCCTCGCCACGCCCCGGCCGCCTCCTCCCCCTCGTCTCGCCGCTTTTCTTCCTTCGCACAAGGAGATCCAGAGGGAAGGATCCCCTTTTTCTGCAAAGCCCGCGCCTTCCCGGCTCCGGCGGCGGCGCTCATGTCCTGGAGGGAGTTGGGGCTTGATCTGGAGGCATGGAAGATCCTAGAGCTCCTCGTCCTCGAGCTCCTCCTCCACACGACGAGCGGCTGCTGCGGAAGTCAACGGCGTGGGGAAGTCGACCACGGCATGGGGAAGACGAAGACTTGCTCCAGCCACATGCCACTGCCCCGTGCTCCTCTTGCCACTGCCATTTCCCTCCTCGAGCTGGCGGACTGATGATGGAGGACCCGCCCTCTTCACTCCACCGGCGCCGTCGCTGCCGCTTTTGCTTCTGCTTCTGCTGCCCGCTCGCCCACAGTAGCGCAGGTCCATCTTCTAGCTGTTGATTTCTGTCTGGTGAAGCAAGCAGATGAGCTGGTTTTGTTCTTGTCCTCTTGGATTGTGTAGCGATTGGAGGAAGACTTGGTGCAGAGGAATGAAGTACGAGTACGAATGCTGCTTCTGTTGTTGATCTCAGGTGAGCTTGCGAGATGAGTACAAATACGCCCTTGATGATTTTAAAACTACTGTTAGCCATGGAATTCAGTAAGATAAGATATGCTTGAGATGAACATGCCACTGTCCAGTAAGATAAGATAAAACCATGACAATTTTGACTAGGAAGCATAACAATCTCAAACTAATTGAGTAAAAATTCAGTAAACTTGTGCATCTAGGAATCAAAACCTGAACATCAACTTGACAGATCAAAAGTTCAACTAATTGAGTAAAAATTCAGTAAACTTGGCAGATCAAAACCTGTCAAAAATTGATAGGTTTTGGAAGAAAATGACAGGTTCTGAACATCAACTTGACTGAACAAAGATCTTGACTGAATAATACAGTTAATTCTGAAACTTCAAAAGTTAACTGAAATTTTTGTCCTCTTGGATTCAGCTACTGAACATGATCACTATTGAACATGATCATATTCTGATTGTACTTGTGTTCAAAAGTTCACTGAAATTTTTGTGAAGTTTTAAACAAAATGATTACTATTGCATCTAGGAATCATTGTTCTATATGTAGTGGTGCTGCTATAAATTTTATATGCACTGAATTTTCTATGCATGTACTCCCATGGCCTCCTAATTTTTATGCAGATCAAGATGCTCAAGATAATCTTGATGTATTATTGACACTTTGATCTCTGAATGTTGTTAAAGATTATCAAGAATGCTTAGTTTGACATTTGGATCTCTGAATGATGTTAAAGATTATCAAGATGCACATTATCAAGGATGCTAGTTTGACATTTTGATCTCTAGTCTGGCCCATCGACTCCTCCTCCTCCTCCCCGTGCTCATCGACCTCATGCACAAGTGCTCTGCAAGAAGAAGAAGAAGAAGAAGAAGAAGAAGAAGAAGAAGAAGAAGAAGAAGAAGAAGAAGAAGAAGAAGACATTGAAGATGCTCAAGACCCTATACAAGAGCTCCTAGCATATGCTTTAGATTCTTCTTCTTCTTACAAATTCTTAGCTTCTTCTTCTTACTCCTTGTAATGACCATGTACATCTTGTAATGACCATTAATGAAGATATTATTTCTCCAACTGGAGTTTTGTCTTTACATCTTATCATAAGATTTTATTGTCAAATGAATTCAAATAATTCCAACTTAATTCAAATAATCCAAATTATTCTAAATTAATTCAAATAATTCCAAGTTAATTCAACTAAATCCAACTTAATTCAAATAATTCCAACTTAATTCAATTAAATCCAACTTAATTCAAATAATTCCAACTTAATTCAACTAAATCCAACTTAATTCAAATAATTCCAACTTTTCCTTTTCCTTTCTTTTCAAATAAATCCAACAAGACATACACATATACACAAGGCATACACATGACACATGACATACACATCACATACTCCTATCCTTTCTTTTTCTTTTCCCTTTCTCTTTCTTTTTTTCCTTTCTCTATTTACTCATTTCCTTGTTTGATAATGGCCTTGGTGTCAGTAATTAGCTCAGGATTACAATATACACCGGTTATTTCCTCTCCAGTATTCTGTAGACGCTTCCTTATGCAGATGCGGCATCTTGTAGTTGTTTCCTCCTTGATCTTTCATCACTTCGACCATCACTGCTTGTAACGTCATAAAGCTTTTGAACATCTTATGGGCATCAGCTTCTTGAGCTTCTTCCATTTCTTCTTGTGCCTCTTGAGCTTCTTCTTGTGCCTCTTGAGCATCTTCTTGTTCCTCTTGAGCATCTTCTTGTGCCTCTTGAGCTTCTTCCTCTTCAGGAAACCAATTCAACTCAATGTCTTCATCCTCCTCTTCTGGGATCAAGTTCAAATCAATAGCTTCACCTGGCTGAGCTTGTTCTTCTTCTTGAGCTTCATCTTCCTCTTCCGGGATCAAGTTCAAATCAAAAGCTTCACCTTGCTGAGCTTGTTCCTCTTGTTGAGCTTCATCCTCCTCTTCCGGGATCAAGTTCAAATCCATAGCTGTGTGCTCCTGTCTGATCTCATAACAAGAGTATACAGAAGATGAATGGTTAGCATATAATCATAACAAGAAAACCATGAAGAATCCTAGACAAAAAGCAAAGAAACCAAGAAAGGGAAAAGTAAAGATTAAAAGTACTCCTTCATTTGGTAACTAGAGGAACATGAAGGCCCTCCTATTCAAGTAAAGCAAGAAGAATCTAAATTAATTCAAATAATTCCAATTTAATTCCTATTGTCATGTCTTTTTTTATTACTCCAAGACAAAATATGTTTTCCTTTTTTAAGTACAGTAGTTGTTTGCTTACTAGAGTAGCATCTCCTAGTCCAAGAACTTAATTCTAATATGGAGTATTATTCACACAGAAACACAACAACAAGACAGTCATCAAGAACAAAAAGTTCTGAAGCTATCAATTCTTTTATATAGATTGGGCTAGGATTTGCACAAATTGTTGTCACTTTTTTATATAGATTGGGCTAGGATTTGCACTTGCAGTTAATGATCTGATTGAATGTTTCCAAACAATAGCACATCTATTAACATCATTTCCATTTCCATTTCAGAGAGGAACAACATCAATAGAAACGGATATAGCAGCAACAGTACCCTTGTTTCTCTGAATTAAACTGAATGTCAATGTTACACCCTTATTTCTTTGAATTAAACTGAATGTCATTGAATTAAACTAAATGTTAATGTTACACCCTTGTTTCTCTGAATTAAATTGATCACACGCCATACAAATAGCACTTGTTACACAAGAATGTCACTGGAGTACATTGACTGAATTTAGTCACTGGAGTACATTGACAGAATTAAACTGAATTGCAATCTAGTCTCTCTTTTTTCAGATTTTTTCCCTCTCTTTTGTTCTCTTGCATCAGCAGAAAGTATCAGCACAAAGCATCAACCAAGTCCAGCAATGGATATCAACAGACTGATTGAAATTGCAGTTCAGCAGCAGCAGAGATGGATACTCCAGTGACTAAATTCAGCAGCAACAATACCTTCTTCAGAGAGGATCAGCAGCAACACGAAGGCAGGCAGCAACACGAGCTCCACCGAAGAGCATGAAGCGTGGGCGAGCGTGCACGCGCACAACCGTGGTAGACACTTGGGTGCCGGCGCCTCTGGTTTTTGTTCATCGGAGGAGCCACGTGACGAGCTCCAGCGGCGGCGAGCGGCGGTCGACGATGACCAGGCCAAATACCAAGCGATCGAGAGGGGGAAAGTGGTCTGGAAGACCGGAAGTTGACACTGATTCCTTAAAATGGCTCGAGGAAGCCAGGGGAGGCGCGACGGCGTCGACGTCGTGTGGGGAAGCGGCGGCCGGAGTGGGAGGAGACGGGGCTAATTCCGTCGATCCACGCCTTCCCAGCAAGCCTGGCTCGATGATGGAGTACCTCTTGGTGAGGCGGAGTTCCTGGTATGCTCGGGGAGGAGGCGGTCCAGCTGTGGGCGACGGTGGGCGAGGTGGGGCGGCGGCGGTTGGGCTGCGTAGGTGGGCGGCGGTGGTTGCCTCCTTCGCACGTGGGCGGCTGCGGCGGCGGCAACGTAGTTGGGAGGCGCACGTAGTGGGCGGCGCTGGACCTGACGGTGCCTCACGACGGCGGGCGACGGCAGCTCGCGGTGGCGTGTCGAGGGGAAGGAGAAGGGTCTGTTTGCGTCAGATTTAAAAGCCCAATGGGTTTTTTGTTAAAAGAAATTTGAACTAGGCGTGGACAACTTTTTCCGGACGGAGGGAGTACTAGTTTAGAAACCAATATTCTGAGTCAACCAAGGTGCAGATCTAGAGTTGCGTAAGTCCAAAATAAGTATGTCAATCTTAGTATAACTTTAGATTGAGACATTTATTTTTGGACGAATAGAGTATGTGCTTTCAATTAAAAAAGAAAAGAAAAAACTTTACACTAAAGTTTTTCCAAGTTGCAAGAGCTTAGCACTAAAGTTGGACATGTGATTTTAAAATATATCATGAAACTAACTATTTTTTTTCAGGATAAAGAACCAAAGACCGAGACTGTCCATCTAGAAATTGGAAAAAAGGACTTTTGGATCGAAATATAGAACTCCTTC